CTTAGGTTTACTTCATGGCTAATTTCATATTTGTGATTCTAGTGCAAGTGGGAATTCACCAGCAACAGGATTGCTACCAGGGGCGGACTGAGCATTTGGAAACTCGGGCACTGCCTGAGGGCCCGGGGTCAGTAGGGGGCCCCATGAGATGCCCCTGGTACCTTTTTCATAGGCTTTTTAAGTTTGGGCAAGGACACAGGGACCCCATGATCCCCTATTGCCCGGGGGGCCCCATGAGTTGTCAGTCCGCCCCTGATTGCTACAAAAATGGAGGAAGAACACTTACTTGCTTTCCATGCACCGCTCCCTGTCCAGCTTTGGCATGCTAGGCCTCATTTTAAAATGTAAAGTGCCAGTGATAGAGCAATACCTTGCTCATCCATGCTTGATCCTCAGTTGCCAAAGTGCTGCACGTGTGATCAGTTATGACACCAGCCAGTTGATGGCTTGACAGTTCGGTTGAGAGCACAAGCAACTGTGAAATTTACCAGTAATGGCATGCCTTGAATGTAACTGTTTTGGACAGTTAAAGCAGAACTAAAGGGATCAATACTTACCTTTCCAATGGTCCATCGCCTTGTTGCAAGTTCTCCTGTGTGCGGCGTGGGATGACGTCACTCCTGCACGTGCATAGGAGCTAGTCATTCTGGCACGTAGGGATCGGGCTGGCCGCTGTAAGCTGGGCTGTGCATGCCCAACTCAGTTTACATTCCAGGGATCACTGTGAACCAGAATGACTATCTGCTGCGCATGCACAGCAGTGACATCATCCCGTGCCGACCAGGCAGGGCCAGATCTTGCCTGATTCGATCTGGGGGTGTAGTAAGAAAACGTCAGGGGGCATAATGTCAACACTGTATGAGACACTGACAGTCTGTCACAGTGTCACAACTTGGGAAACACTAGAATGTATTAGACTGTTTTAGATTACGGTGATTAAAAAGAACCTATGCCCCCTTATATCAGATGGCCCTGTCAGAGTCCCCCTTTATATTAGGAGTCCTCATCAGAGTCCCCATTTATATCAGGTCCCCATCAGAGTGCCCCCTTATATCAAGTGTCCCCATCAGATTACCCCCTTATATCAAGTGTACCCATCAGAGTGCCCCCTAACATCAGGTGTCCCCATTAGAGTGCCCCCTTACATCAATGTCCCCATCAAGGTCCCCATAACATCACAGTCCCCATCTGAGTCCCCCATACATCACAGTCCAAATTAGGAGCCCCCTTCACATCTGGTCCCCATCAGAGCCCACCTTACTTCCAGGTCCCCATCAGAGCCCCCCTTTACATCAGGCTCCTATCAGAGTTTCCCTTACATCAGATGTCCCTAAAAGAGTTCCCCCTTACATCAGATGTCCCCATCAGTGTCCCCCCTTACATCAGGTGTCCCCATCAGAGTCCCGCTTACATCAGGTTTCCCCATCAGAGTCCCCCTTACATCAGATGTCCCCATCAGAATCCCACTTCCATCAGGTGTTTCCATCAGAGATCTCCGTTACTTCAGGTGTCTCCATCAGAGTGTCCCCTTTCATCAGATGTCTCCATCAGAGTGCCCCCTTTCATCAGATGTCTCCATCAGAGTGCCCCTTTCATCAGGTGTCTCCATCAGAGTTCCCCATTACATGGATTGTGACCATAAGAGTGCCTCCTTACATCAACAGTCTGCATCAGACTGACTTATGGATTAGTGGATGCACTCTCAGAAACCTAGTAGGGGCACAGCTAAAATCTGGGGGGCACAGCCCATGATAGCACCCACCCTAGATCCAGCCCTGCGACCAGGTAGGCGTAGGTTTATTGCAGAAGAGACTGCCTTCTCACAACATGTAAAGCCTAACAACTTTAAATTGTTAGGCTTAGTTTTGCTTTAGGCCACATGCACACTGACAACAAAGATGCCACTTTTAAAGTGTTACTAAACCCACAACAGTAAAATCAGTCTGTATATGCAGTAAAGCATGCTTGTTATACTCACTGTGGAACCTAAGGGGTTAATCCTCTGCAATATGCAAAAACACTAATTTTCAATAGAGAAGATGGGACTTTCAGGGTGCATGAACATGAATATCAAACATTAAAAAGTTATATCATTTTTATTTCGTATTTTTGTAAAAAACTTAAGAAAGGAAAAAATACAGAAACATAAAAACAATTTTAGTTCTAAGAATACAACTGAGATTCAAACTTGGTTATGTAATTGTAGTTACTCCCTACATGTTTCGCCCTCACGGGCTTCTTCAGGGAAGATTTTTTGAGGAAATTTCTACCGCCAAAGCAGTCTAAAGGTATATCAAGGGAAAATTGTTCAATTACCAAACAACTTTAATATATCCAATACAGAGTATTTAATCAAATATATACACATATATATGGGACTCAATTGCTCACCCTGGATGTGAAAACTCACAGAGCTAGGAGAAAATGACCTAAAAATTATCTAAATTGGCCTACACGTCCAAAACAGTTGTAGAGGATATAATGGGCATCAAATATCATCTAGGCATAATGGGATAGACAAAAAAGAGATTAATTAAATTTAACGGAAGATATGAAGAGATCATAATTCAATGGGTTGAGGTTAACTTTGGGCAATTTTACCTGTTAAATGCTTGAGAAGGATATATAGGTATAACCTAACAAAGATCTATTTGACCTACTGTATACGTTCACAACCATAGTAGAGGAAACAATAGACATCAAACATCCATCTAGACATAATAGGATAGACAATCATATCTGGTCGCTCGCTCGCCACTTCACAATTTCTTCATGTAAAAACACTGTTTGATCTTGTTTTCCCTGATCCTCCCCTTCTTTCAGTGTCCCCCTCTTATCTCCTGATAGGGCATATCTTGTGGAGTCACTCTGCACATGCTCAGTATGGTGTGTATTGCAAGGGTGGGGTTTTTTTCTTGGGAGAGTGCATGTGATCCGCACAGGGCCAGTCAGCACTGTCCAGACAGAGGTCAGGGGTCCTGCATCTTCCTAGAGCTGAATGAAAACTCCTCCTACAGGCTTTGACATGTGCTCGGCTGGACACTGCTAGAAGTCACAAGACTGCTCTAACTGCTAATGAGAAAAGGTATTTAGCAGTTTATATCTACTAAAATAATTGCATTTCCATGTTGTGTGTACTGTGGGAGACCAGATATAGTGAATGCAGGGTCCTGGGAGACCGGATATAGTGAATGCAGGGTCCAGGTGATGTCAGCGACGCATGCACTTTGAAGGAATGGCATACCCTTGCCATTCCTTCAGAGCCCTGTGCCGCAAACAGTGACTCGCGTGCTCATGCGCAGGAGTGACATCACCGCGGCAAGTCAATTTATACTGCCTGTGAACCCAGAAGGAAGACCAGGTGAAGATGGAAGCAGCTACAGCGGTGACTGGCAAGCGCAGGGGATCAGACTGCAACTGCTAACTGAAAACACAGTGATTTGGCACCACATATGTGTGAACCTAGGCTTAAAGTGGTTGTAAACCCTTCCATATACCCGTGAAGTGCCAGGATGATGGCCTGCTGCACACGTGCAGGATTGACATCATCCCACGCCAGCCAATGAAGAGGCCCAAAGCTCAGCACTCACACAAGAAAGTGTTGGTGCAGGACCTTTAACAGTTAAGTATTAAAGTGGTTGTAAACCTCAGATATGAAATATGAACAAAGCATATCCCTCTATAGTGTGTACTTGTCTCAATCCAGAGTACTAAGTGTCATTTCTGTCTGCTGCTTCATTCCTCTGCTACGAGCATGAATCACTTCAGACACGTTTTCCTAACACCAAGAGAAATATGGTAACAGGGCAGGGGCCTCCAGCACACAGCCTGTGATTGACAGCCTCAGCTCTGTTTCTGTGTGCTGTGCTGAGGGGGTGTGTCTCTTCCCTCCAATCAGCTCTCAGAGCTCTCCTCACTGAGGTCTGCAGTGTGTGACTTCAGCTCTCCGCCCCCCTTTTTTCTGAACTCTCAGACAAGCTTTATGAATTCAGCACTTTGAACAGCTATAGAGAAGAGAAGGATATAGATAAACAGGTACAACTTCTGTAGGAGGATTTGTTTCATCTCTGTGTCTCACCTGAGGCCAGTCACTTCACTGGGTATATGGAAGGGTTTACAACCACTTTAGGTGCGTTCACGTCTTGCAGGGAGGTATTTTAACTAATTTTTATCAGTTTTATCCCATGAATCCTCCCAAGAATTTCATATGTAGCTGTTTCATGTTGCCTGCTGCCCCAGTGAGCTGGAGACCAGAAACAGCTCTTTAATCTTTTTACTCATTTTGACTTTTGGTGGTATATCTGAGAAAGAAAGTTGTGCAAGTTGCCTGGTGACCAGGGGTGGACTGACAACTCATGGGGCCCCTAGGGAATTATGGGGCCCCTGTATCCTTTCCCAAACTTAAAAAAGCCTATGAAAAAGGTACCAGGGGCATCTCATGGGGCCCCCTACTGACCCCCGGGCCCTCAGGCAGTGCCCGTGTTTCCAAATGGTCAGTCCACCCCTGCTGATGACCCCAGAATTGGATTTACCATAATTGGAGAATTTAAGGGTCACAATTTTGAAATCAACTTTTAGCATACTCTGGAAATTTCAACAATTCTCCCGCCGGGTTTTCAGTTGCAAAAATATTCAAATACGATAACCCCTCCCCCATTCACCTTGCAGGGTCACCGTCCAATCACTCTTAAATAATCAGAAAATGAATGTGGTAGACAATCCCATATTTAATCAGCTTTGACGGGTGATATGACGGTGCTTTTGCCACAATCAGGAAAGTGCATCTCCACCGTGGTCTTCAAAGGCCGGGATTAAGTTATTAAACTGAGCCGCTTTAATCATGCAGCCTAGAAATGAGTGTAGAGGATTAAAATGTATTTTTACCGCACAATCCTGAGCGTCCATTCCCATCCATTCACCCCCTGCTCCTTGCTTCCCCCCGGACCACAGGGTCTCCCAGACAGCCGTCTTCCTCGCTCCAGGGCGGAATATGGGCCGCAATGGAGTTTTACTTAGAAATTGACCCCGTGACACTGAACTTAATTATCCTGGTAGCTAGTTATGTCATCCTCCTGCTGGTCTTTCTGGTGTCTTGTGTGCTTTATATGACTGTCGGGGTCGGGACCCCAGTAAGGAGTATGCCCCAGAGACCGTGCCGGAGAACCGCTCGCCCATCCGCTTGGTGGTAATGCAGCAAAGTGCTACGTGGGGCAAGGCCTATCAGAACAAAACCGGCGTGCTGGAGAAGAAAATTACAGTTGTCTAAAGAGATTATCGGGCATTTGTATGACTCAGGCAAGTTGGATCTTCACAATGCTGACTTTCAGGACCAACAAGTGAGTACATGGGGCAATTGTGCTGGGGGCATTGCTGTGCTGGATTGACCCATGCATCAACTTAATAGGTAGAAACTTCTAAAGAGGATCCCCAAGGGCCATTATACATTTTTATGACTGATTACCACAACAAATGATATTTTAACTGAAGATGTTCTAGTAGAGGAGGGGGTATTTTTCAGCATACCACTGGCTTCCTGTCATTGAAGAACACTATCAGCTGGCATTTTGTTTTCTTCCTATGTGGTTAATGCATAAATGTACAGTCTCATATCTTGATGCTCTTGATCTTGACGTCACAGCCAGGGGCAGACTGACAACTCATGGGGCCCCCAGGCAATAGGGGATCATGGGGCCCCTGTGTCCTTGCCCAAACTCAAAAAAGCCTATGAAAATGGTACCAGGGGCATCTCATGGGACCCCCTACTGACCCCGGGCCCTCGGGCAGTGCCCGAGTTTTATAAATGGTCAGTCCGCCCCTGGTCACAGCATTACACTTGAGTTACTGAGCATGTGTAGTAATGCAAAAAAAGGGTGTAAATGAGGGGATCCAGGCCTCCAAGGGGGATGGTTCATGCATAATGAGCATTGGAGCACCCTGAAAGTGGGTGTGATTTGGGTGGGGCCACCCAGAAAGTAGACGTAATCAAGGTGGGACCACCCAGAAGGAGGACACATGTGTAAGCCGGGGGCAAGGATGACAGTGCCTCAGGGACTAGGCTTTTGCAAATGGGTGATTCCTGCATAATTAGGGTTGGGGGCACCAAGAAAGTGGGTGTGATTTTGGTGGGGCTACCAAGAAAAGTAGACGTAATCGAGATGGGACTGCCTAGAAAGATATGATATATGTGGCACGTGGAACAGGATGACAGTGTCTCAGGGACTGGGAGTCCACAAATGGGTGATTCCTCGCATAATTAGGGTGGGGGGTCACCAAGAAAGTGGATGTGATCTGGATGGGGTCACCCACAGGCAGGGCTGTCTTAATGCATGGGTACCACAGCCCAGGGGCCCCAGGTGCATGGGTGCCCCACGATAGTCTTGCAATCACTATACTTGCCAACTGTCCCGGGTTTGCCGGGACAGTCACTCCTTTTACTAAGCTGTCCCAGGAAGCATCCCAGATGTGCCCTCCGGATTCCAGTATTGTGCCCTCCAGACCCCCCCCCCCCCATACTGTGCCTTTTGGGTTGATTAGTGTTTACTTTATGACATGTTTACTTATTCTTTAAAATCAATGTTATTGAAAATACTAATAAATATATATTTAATTCTATCAACTATTTATACTTTCATTCTTGAGAATAGGTGTGTAAATTGAGACAAGCTACTAGGGGCCCCAGTGCATTACTTTGCCCAGGGGCCCACAATGCTATTAAGACGGCCCTGACCACAGGGGGAGAGCACAGTAATATATCATTTGTCAGCCCTAAAAAAAAAATAACCTGACTGTAAACCTAAAGAGTGAACCCTGAACCTTGCAGAAACCTAACCCTAAAAATTATCCCACACATGGAGCTAGCCTGTGGTAAAACCAGGGGATTGAGCCATGTTTTTATCCCCCTATCCCATTGAATGCCCAACTAAACAAGGTCATGCAGCTACTCAGGGTTGTACACATGGAATTGCTTTTCAGAGGGGCAGCAAGGGCTGCCGCACTTATGAACAAGCCCTTAACCCTGAAAGTGAATGCAAGAATTGAAGTCTTCCATGGCCTCATGGGAACTGACATTTTGTTTCCTAGTATTACATATTAAGAAAAAAATAATGGCCAATCACAGAAGGTAAAATTTAAGTTTGCCTGCAAGCACTTTTCAGGTTGAACTTTCCTGCAGAGTAAATTAATTTTAGAAAATACTTTTTTTTTTTTATTTGATTCATCACACACATACAGCCAAATGAGTCAGAAGAGAGGGAGCCTTCTCTGCTCCTCTTTTGTTCCTCTGTATGGCTGTATAAAGACTTTCAGTTAGAAAAAGATCTAAAAGGTAAAAGATACTGCTGTGCTCTTTGTTTAAAAATCCTAGAACGCTCAGCAATTTCAGTATCATGAATGGACCCTGTAAGAAATGTTGATTTTTAAAAGAAGGCTCTAAAAAAGTAAAACAAAGATTTTATAGAAGTAATTAAAAATTGTATAAAACATATTAAAAACAAAAATAACCTTTACAATAGTTGTAACCCCAAACTGAATGACATTTATTTTCCTAATGCACCCATAATGAAAATAAAAAAACTTGCTTTCAACTTTTTTTGTCATTTGTTGCATCTCAGTGCTGCTAATCTCCTACCACCTCTTTGCAGCCACTTCACGTGAACAGTACATGTACTCCAGCCAGGGGCAGACTGGCCATTTGGAAACTCGGGCACTGTCCGAGGGCCCGAGGTCAGTAGAGGGCCTCATGAGATGCCCCTGGTACCTTTTTCATAGGCTTTTTTGAGTTTGGGCAAGGACACAGGGGCCCCATGATCCCCTATTGCCCAGGGGCCCCATGACTTGTCATTCCGCCCCTGGCTCCAGCAATGGATTCATGGCTTTTTTCAGGCCAGATTTCCTAAATATGATAACAGGGGACCATGCATGTCTAAGGTGTATTGGAAGGGCCACTTGTAGCTTCCACTGGAAACCCACATGAGAAAGTGACAACGCAGGTGCACAATCGGGAGACAGTGACAGAGTGTTGTCACCTTGTTACAGAAAGTACCTGAACAAGGACCTTCATGGCAGGGTCACAAGCTATTATTTAACCATTTGAGCTCCCGTACCTCGCTGGAGTTTGAGTAGGTATAGTGGGATGATTCCTTCAGTTATACAGTCTTTTAGAGCTGGGGGTCACCTCTCTTGAAATAGTGATCAGAGCAGCTAACTAGCCACTCGATCACTATTACAAGCAGCGGGAGGGGACATTCCCCCACCACCTTTTGCCGCCTGCTCTGGCTCTCCTGTCCCACCTGGACACTCAAGCAAACATCAAGTTCCTCCACCACCTGGTGGAACAACTGAACAAAACCAGGAGCGGCTTTGATCGTCTCTCCGCTATGGAAACCCGGAAGCAGTGACCTGTACCCAGATGTAAATGGTGCCATTTTAGAAAACTTAAAGGCATTAAAAAAACACAGATCTTGGTGCTTTGGAATACTTTTAAGTGTAATAGTAAAAAATCTCCTGCGCATTATTGAGAAGAACTACAGGCCACTCTCCTGACTGTACCACATGGAAATAAATGATGGAAGTAGACCAACGGAAATGATAGGCTTTGCTGCTCGCACAAACGACTGGGGGGGTCCGACGTGGCAACTGCAAACAAATAAATAGAGAGCTCACTGGGCATAGTGCATTAGCCAAGGATCAATTTTTTAAAAATAGGATAAAAAAAATACTTACAAACATATTCGTGAATGCTCACAGAACCAGTGTCACCACAAGTGAATATTTTTTTATGCTATTTTTAATAAATTGATCTTTGGATAATGCACTAGACTGCTGCACTCTCTGTTTTTTTTGTTTGCAGATACTTTTAAGTGTAGAGGAGAGATTTGGGGTCTACTTGACCCCAGATTCCTCCATAAACAGTACCTTTCACATGCCTATTGCTGTCACAAGGGATGTTTAAATTCCTTGTGTCAGCAATAAAAGTGATAAAAAAAAAAAAAAAGCAACAGTGTAAAAAAAAAATTAATATTTAAAAAAAATTAAAATTCTCTCATTCCCTCGTGCTCGCACACAAAGGTGAATGCGCGCTTTGGTCCTGCACGCACGCAAACAGCGATCGGCCCACACATGTGAAGTATCACCACGAACGTCAGATCATGGGCAATAATTCTAGTACCAGATCCCTCTTTAAATCTAAAGTAACCTGTAAAGGCTTTTAAAGTGTCACCTATATTTAATGTTGTTTGTCGCCGTTGCACAAGCGTGCACAATTTTAAATGTAGCATGTTTGGTATCTATTTACTCGATATAACTCTTTTATATTTTACAGAAAAAGATTGGGTTATGTATTGTGGGTTTTTTTGCATTGAAATTCAAAAAAGTGTATTTTTTTCCCAAATAAATTGAGTTTGAAAGACTGCTGTGCAAATACCGAATTCATTCTCTAGGGCCTCTGCTACACTGCTCAAAAAATTAAAGGAACACTTTGAAAACACATCAGATCTCAATGGGGAAAAATCTCCTGCTGGATGTCTATACTGATATGGACGGGGTGATGTGTTAGGAATGTATGGATTCCCCATCGTTTGATGGAAATGAAAATGATCAATCTACAGAGGACTGAATTCAAAGACACCCCGAAAATCAAAGTGAAAAAAATGATGCAGCAGGGTAGTCCATTTTCCTGAAATTTCATTGCAACAACTCAAAATCGTACTCAGTAGTTTGTATGGCTCCCACATGCTTGTATGCATGCCTGACAACTTCGTGGGAGGCTCCTAATGAGACAACGGATGGTGTCCTGGGGTGTTTCTCCTAGATCTGGACCAGGGTATCTCTGAGCTCCTGGACAGTCTGAGGCACAACCTGGCAGCGGCGGATGGACCGAAACATGATATCCCAGAGGTATTCTATTGGATTTAGATCAGGCGAGCTTGGGGGCCATTCAATGTTATCAATTCCTTCATCTTCCAGGAACTGCCTGCATACTCTCGCCACATGAGGCCAGGCATTGTCATGCAACAGGTGGAACCCAGGACCCACTGCACCAGTGTAGGTTCTGACAATGGATCAAAGGATTTCATCCCAATACCTAATGGCAGTCAGGGTGCCATTGTCTAGTCTGTAGAGGTCTGTGCGTCCCTCCATGGATATGCCTCCCCAGACCATCACTGACCCACCACCAAACTGTCATGCTGAA